CCCAAATATGAGCTCTTTTCACTGCTGCTTTTCAGAGCAAAGTTTCCTGGATACATTGTCCAAATCATTCTCTCCTCCTAGGAAGGACTGAATGACAATTCCACCACTCCACTGAGACCACACTTAAGACCACCAATGACCTTTACCTTGATTCTCTGTCCTGATCTAACTGGACCTACTTGCAGCATTCCACTGTGCAATCTGACCATTCCTTCCCCTGTTATAACTTTTTTTTTTTTGTAGAGACAGGGTCTTGCTCTCTCACCCAGGCTGGAGCGCAGTGTTCAATCACAGCTCACTGCAGCCTAGAACTCCTCCTGCCTCAGTCTCCCAAAGTGCTGGGATTACAGGATTACAGCCACCTCACCCAGTCCTTTTTTTTTCTCTTTGAGATGATGCCTCACTAAATTGCCCAGGCTGGTCTGGAGCCCCTGGGTTCAAGCAATACTCCCACTTTAGCCTCCCAAAATGCTGCAATTATATGTGTGAGCCACAGTGCCTGGCCTAGAGCAACCTTAATGACTGACAGACAAAATTGTTTTTTTGGTGAAACACAACATGAAGGGTTATAAGGGATGTTATATGTTGGTAATGGGAGGAAAAGATCAAGAATGCAAAAAAAACTAAACATATATGCACCTAACAATGCACCTCAAATACATAAAGCAACAGCTGACAAAAACAGATAAGTTAATAATCATAGTTTAAGAACTGATATTTCCCTCTTGGAAGAATTAACATCAGGGTAATTTAATTCTCTGACCAGAATGTAAAAATGTTAGAAATCAGTAACAGACCGAAAAAAAAAAAAGATTCCATGAATGTAGAAACGTAAGGAAAAATTCCATTTAAGTGAAAGCAAAATAATTTGAATTGTAAGTCCTACAAGGGAAAGATGAGGGAAACATGAGGATGTTCAGATTTACGAGACAGGGTTAAAGCAAAGCAGCGCTTGGAGGAAGACACATTTCTTTGGCTGCACTGATCAGGAAATGAGACAGATTTCAGACTTGAGGAAGGCATCACAAAGTTAGCCTTCCTCCACTATCAACTAAAAGCAAAAAAAAAAAGATAATTAAAAGCAAAAATGCAAACTTCATTTTCATTAAAACTAAGAGCTAGAAATGGGGGGCTCCCAAAGGCTGCAGGAATTGAGCAAGAGCTGTGTGAAAGGCACACATTGATGCCTGCTACAGATGCCAGCAAGGGCAGGGTGAGGGCATTTCTTAAGGTGAGGGCACGCCCTGAGGGTAGGACCTAATTCCCTGTTTCTGAAGCAGGAACATGGGCTGGCAGCGAGTGCTTCCTGGGTCTTGTTTAGTTCCTGGAAGAGAGGAGGGAGAGGGAACCAGAAACAGAACAGGCCTTATTTGTAAAATGCAGTATCTTTAGAAAAAGGAAGATAGAAGCTGTACTCTGTGAAAAGCCTGATAGGTACAGACTTGTATTTAAAGCTAAAATCAACAACAAAACTCTGCTAGATTGAAAAATGACTCTGGCTTCATTTTCCATATAAACTTTTTCAAATAGCTAGTCAAGTAAAAATTTACCTGTTTTTTCTTTTTTTTTGAGACGGAGTTTTGCTCGTTACCCAGGCTGGAGTGCAATGGCACGATCTCGGCTCACCCCAACCTCCGCCTCCTGGGTTCAGGCAATTCTCCTGCCTCAGCCTCCTGAGTAGCTGGGATTACAGGCATGTGCCACCATGCCTAGCCAATTTTTTGTATTTTTAGTAGAGACGGGGTTTCACCATGTTGACCAGGATGGTCTCGATCTCTTGACCTCGTGATCTACCCGCCTCGGCCTCCCAAAGTGCTGCGATTACAGGCTTGAGCCACTGTGTGCGGCCCAAATTTACCTGTTTTAAAGATGAAGCTGGGCACAGTGGCTCATGCCTGTAATCCCAGCACTTTGGGAGGGTAAGGTGGGAGGATGACTTGAGCCCAGGAGTTCGAGACCAGCCTGGGCAGCATAGTGAGACCTTGTCTCTACAAAAAACTAAAAACATCTTAGCTGAGCGTGGTGGCATGTGCCTGTGGTCCCTGCTACTTGGGAGGCTGAGGTGGGAGGATTGCTTGAGCCCAAGAGGTCGAGGCTGCAGTGAGCTGAGGTCACGGCACCATACTTCAGCTTGGGTGACAGAGTGAGACACTGACTCTAAAAAGATTAAAAAAAAAAAAAAAAAAAAAGATGAGGGGGGAACCCAGAAACAAAAGTGCTCCAAGAGGAAAGGAGAAAGGAAACAAGCAAATGAAAGAGCATGAGCTGTCTCCAGAACTTCCCATAGTTGATGAAAATCCAAACAAAACGTTTTGCTGTGAGTTAAAAACTCAAGGAGGCAGTGCCCTAAGAATGCTGAGCACAAAGGAGAGCTATGGAGTGCAGGTAGGAGGGCCAGGAAGACAGCAGGACGTGGCTGTGTGGAAGACAGAGGTAAACACATCACAGCCCTGAGCACATGGGGAACAGAATCCGGTGGCACAAGCCCATTCCTTCCTACGGCAGAAGGGAAGCTGCGCCAATCCTAAGAACACTTACAATGGCATTTGTGAAAAGGGGCTGGAGTACCAGGCTCAGACAAGTTGAGTCTAAAAATTATGGTGGCCATGGCTGCAATCCCAGCACTTTGGGAGGCTGAGGCGGGAGGATTGCTTGAGCCCAGAAATTTAAGATCAGCCTGGGCAACATAGGGAGACACCATCTCTATTAGTTTTTTTGAGGCAGAGTCTCATTCCATCACCCAGACTGGAGTGCAATGGTGCGATCTCAGCTCCCTGCAACCTCCACCTCCCAGGTTCAAGTGATTCTCATACCTCAGCCTCCCAAGTAGCTGGGATTACAGGCACACACCACCAGGCCCAGCAAATTTTTGTATTTTTGGTAGAGACAAGGTTTCTCCATGTTGGCCAGGCTGGTCTTGAACTCCTGACCTCAACTGATCCAACTGCCTCAGCCTCCCAAAGTGCTGGGATTACAGGCATGAGCCACCATGCCCAGCTTTTTCTCTGCTAAATTTAAACAGAAAGAAAAAATAAAATATAAATACAATACAAGAAAATTCTGAGAGAGAAGGGTAAAGAGGAGATCCTAGATAAGCCAGACATGCAAAGAGACCAGGAAGTGATACTGATTCAGAACTGATATAACTGCCTGTGAACAGACTGAGAGAGGAACTGAACGAAGTCCAGATACAGCCCCAAATGCACATGGAACATTTAGCATCATAAGAAAGGCGGGAGTTCAAACAAGCCAGGAAGCATGAGCGATTGAAAACTGGGGTTGGGGCATCTCAGGAGCCATCAGGGGTTAATAAGTGGTTCCAGCTGGGTGTGGTGGCTCATGCCTGCAATCTCAGCACTTTGGGAGGCTAAGGCACACCTGAGGTCAGGAGTTCAAGACCAGCCTGGCCAACACATGGAAACCCCATCTCTACTAAAAGTACAAAAATTAGCTGGGTGTGGTGGTGGGTACCTGTAATCCCAGCTACTCGGGAGGCTGAGGTGAGAAAATCACTGGAACCCAGGAGGTGGAGGCACAGTGAGTTGAGATGGCACTACTGTACTCCAGCCTGGGCAAAAAGAGTGAAACTTCACCTCAAAAAAAAAACAATAAAAAACAAAACAAAACAAAAAAACAGAAGTGGTTCCTAATTTATAACATACACCACGATAAATTCCAAAAGGATCACAGGGTTAATCACAAAAAAATGAAACCAGAGCATAATCAGAAGAAACAAGGGAATAAGCCTGGGGAAGCCAAGATGTCATAAAACCCAGAAAAGATAAAAAACAAGGACATTAAATTACATAAAAATAAAAATTTGAACATAAAAAAACACTAAGAAAAATTTAAAAACATGAAGAACTGGGAGAAAACATTTGAACTGTTGTCACAGAAAAGGTCTAATTTGTATTACATATAATGAGCTGCTACAAATCAGTAAGAAACACAAAAACCCTATGTACAAATGGGCAAAGAACTGAAGAACAGGAAAAAGAAGCGTCTGGAAACCCACGTGAAGATGCACGACCTCCCGACAGAAGCGCTCACTCCAACCCTGCCTGCCACAGGTGACTCTCCTCATTCACTGCTGCTGGGAGCAGCTGCTAGGCCGGCAGTGGAGGCTGAGACGCCGTCTGCCACGCGTGACGCACACACAGTCCTGACTAGGCAAGCCCCCTTGAGCACCTACACACATATTTTCATACACGCTCTGCAGCATGTGTGCAAGGCTACCACTCTAACATGATTTGCAACAGCCTAAAAGGCACACGAAGGAAAGAATGGTTAAAAGAACAATGGAAGTTGTAAGGTAAGAAGGGAACGCCCTCTAAACAGGAACACAGGATGGACCCGTGTTCCCGCCCGACCACGTCGCACATCCTATGTCTCCAGCTGCCTCAAAGCAGCATCTTTTCTTCACGCTTCTCGCTACATCATGGTCTCATGCAGTCCCCCCAAGGTACACCCTTCAGATAGATTTTCCTGAAAACTTCCTGAGACCACCAGCAGGAGCTGCCGCTGTAACCTGCTGAGTTTGCCAGGCCTGTGACTTAAGTACAGAGAAGAGTCTCGGGGCGGCGACGTCTGTGCAGCAATGCAGGACGGGATGAGGATGTGATATAACACTTGTCTGGCCCGAGGGGCTGAGCACCACTGGGGTTGGCCTGGCTCTCCCAGGGAACAGGGCCGTCTAAAGTGCACCAACACCTGCACGTCTCACCTGGGTTCCATTCCGAGTCAAGTACGCAGTGTGCACCCGGGTGTACGGCGCTGCGTTACGAGGCACGGTTTCTGGCCTTCAGGGCTTTGCACCGTCACCTGGGAAAACCTCAGGCGCCGAATGAGAGGTAAGGAGACTCCATGCATTACTCAGCCAAAGTGCAGGGATTTCAGGGTATGGGAAGCAGGCGGGCGCTGACTCTCCACATGCCCCTCAGAGAGGGTGGCCCCTGCCTACTACCAGCCGTGGGCAGCTCCTGGGGAGGGCAGTCTCCTACCTGGAGTTGAGTCACCATGGGAGGTGAGTCCAGAAGGGCTGGATCCCAGGTCTAGCACCCTCCACGTGTCCTGGAGGGTGGCGCAGGCAAAGGAGGAGGAGCTGTGGGAGTGGCAGACGAGCTCTTCAGGGTGCTCCTGGGCCTGGGGTGGCTTTGGAGACCTGGCTTCTTTCTGCTGGGGTGATTTACAGGTCACTGTGTGAATACTGTGTTGTGTCTAGAAAAGACATCATCATCTTGAACGCCACTCCTCTCTAACCCAGAGGAAGCCACAGGGCTCCCCCAAGCTACTCCCCTGGAGTGTGGGGAAAGAGTGGGCCTGGCTCAAAGGCCCAGGCAGATGCTCCCAGGACCACCCAGGAGAGGCAGCTGCAGACAGCAGTGCATCTGGAGAGTGAGTCCCAGCACTGGGAAGCCTGGGTGTGGGCAGTGCCTAAATCTCAGTGCTTGTCTGAACCCTTGGACAACACAAGTCTAGAGCAGAGGATGCCCTGCTGTGATGGGGAGGGGCTGAAATGCAGGGCAGACGTATGGAGGGGCAAAGAAAGAAAGGGCAAGCATGGGCCCCATGCGCTTTAGGGGCCCTGGGCCCTCCCAACACCCTTACCACCCTTGTGGGACACCCAGCAAGCGCTCTGCAGCTTACCTGGCCATTGTGAGTGGCCCCTGGTGACAATGCAAAGGCAGCTGTGCAGAGCGAAGGCCCCTCCGAGAGGCCCAGAGTGCCCAGGCCCCGGCTTCCCTGCTGGCCACACCCCACAGCGCCACACCTTGACAGGCACTGCCATTCTTACCTTCCGTCCTTGCAGGGTGTTGTGTCTGCTGCCCACCCGTGCTGAGCGGGGCCACTGCTTTCCCGGGTATCTGGAAGGACATTCATCCTCTGTACTCTTGGTGTCCTGCAATGGGGAGTTAAATGAGAGGACTCCGGCATTCATGTCACTGACAGTGCATGTCAGTGAGTTTTCCCACAAGACTGGGAAGAAATGGCTTCCCACATTTCTGGTATTAAAGACTCACGTCATCTGGTCACAACACAGACTGAAGGGACCTGTTCCCCAGACAGGATGAGTGAAGCAGGCTTCCCTGATCACTCATTCCCAGGAGCCTCCTCAACAAGGCCAGGGCAGCCTTCACGTGGCCTGCCTGGGGTGAGAGCACCCAGCCCAGGGTGGCATAAGTGGCTCCCAGTGCCGACGCTTGGCTGATCCTGCCCGCCCCTCGCCTGATGCCTCCCTCCTCCTGGAGGGAAGACTGAAGGAAGCCAAAAGGGAATACTAGGGAGCAATGCCTAAGAACACAGAAAGGAAAATTCAAAGCAGTGAGACCTGGACGGAGCCATGGGCAGTAGATGGCCCTCAGGAGGCCGTGGAACCAGCCCAGCTCTGCCCCTTCCCAGCATACCATGAGCGTAGAGCTCAGCTCAGCCCACATTTACCGATGTTTGCCTATTCACCAAGGAACGTATATGCACGAGGTCTGTTTAAGGTCCCTGGTGCCCTGCCTGATGCTCGCTGCCCCCAGGGCTTCGTCCTGATGCTTTCTCATCAGACTCTTTGCCTGTTTTCACAGGGTTATTTGTCTTTTTTTTTTTTTTTTGAGATGGCATCTTGCTCTGTTGCCCAGGCTGGAACACAGTGGCAAAGTCTCGGCTCACTGCAACCTCTACCCCCCGGGGTTCAAGCAATTCTCCTGCCTCAGCCTCTGAGTTGCTGGGATTACAGGCACCCGCCACCATGCCTGGGTAATTTTTGTATTTTTAGTAGAGACAGGGATTCACCATGATGGCCAGGCTGGTCTTGAACTCCTGACCTCGTGATCTGCCCGCCTCAGCCTCCCAAAGGGCTGGGATTACAGGCATGAGCCACTGCACCCATGGAGTTCTTTTCTGTATTTGTTTCCTATTTCTTCTCATATGGCACCATTTACTATTAGAAATAAAGAGGAACCCCTTGGGAAGCTGAGGCACTTGAGCCCAGAGTTCTAGGCTACAGTGAGCCTGGATCACACTACTGCACTCCAGCCCTGGCAAGAGCAAGACTCTGTCTCAAAAAAAAAAAAAAAAAAAATCGGCTGGGCACAGTAGATCACACCTGTAATCCTAGCACTTTGGAAGGCTGAGGTGGAAGAACCCCTTGAGTCCAGGAGTTCAATATCAGCCTGGGCAACACAGTGAAACCCTTATCTGTACAAAAAATTTTTTAAATTAGACAAGTGCCGGGCACAGTGGCTCACACCTGTAATCCCAGCACTTTGGGAGGCTGAGAGGGTGGATCACAAGGTCAAGAGTTCCAGACCAGCCTGGCCAATATGGTGAAATCCCGTCTCTACAAAAAATACAAAAATTAGCTGGGTGTGGTGGCACACACCTGTAGTCCCAGCTGCTCAGGAGGCAGCAGGAGAATTGCTTGAACCTGAGAGGTGAAGGTTGCAGTGAACCGAGATCCTGCCATTGCATTCCAATCGGGGTGACAGAGCGAGACTCCGTCTCAAAAAAAAAAAAAAAAAAAAATTGGACAAGTGTGGCACACACTTGTGGTCCCAGCTACCAGGGAGGCTGAGGCGGGAGGATAATATGAGCCAGGGAGGTTGAGGCTGCAGTAAGGTGTGATGGCACCATGGCACTCCAGCCTGGGCAGCAGAGAGAGAGAGATCCTGTTTCAAAACATTTGTTTTTCTTTGAGACAAAGTTTCACTCTTGTTGCCCAAGCTGGAGTACAATGGTGTGATCTTGGCTCACTGCAACCTCCACTTCCCAGGTTCAAGTGATTCTTCTGCCTCAGTCTCCTAAGTAGCTGGTATTACAGGCGCATGTCACCACACCCAGCCAATTTCTTGTATTTTTAGTAGAGATGAGGTTTCACCATATTAGCCAGGCTGGTCTTGAACTCCTGACCTCAGGTGATCTGCCCGCCTTGGTCTCACGAAGTGCTGGGATCACTGGCGTGAGCCACTGCACCTGGCCCACATTCTTTTAAAAGAAAAATAAATTGGCCAGGCGAGGAGGTGGCTCCAAAACAATGTGGGCCAGGTGTGGTGGCTCAGGCCTGTAATCCCAGCACTTTGGGAGGCTGAGGCAGGTGGATCACTTGCAGTCAGGAATTCAAAGCCAGCCTGGGCAACACAGCAAAATTCTATTTCTGGGGATTTCTGAGGGGATTATGGTGTGAGCCACCACGCCCGGCCTTTGTTTTAAATTTTATATATTTGAGACAGGATCTTACTCTTAGCACCCAGGCTGGAGTGCAGTGGTGCCAAAGCAGCTCACTATAGCCTCGAACTCCTGGGCTCAAAGGATCCTCCCACCTCATCCTCCCATGAAGCTGGAACTACAGGCACACACCACACCTGGCTAATTTTGTAATTTTTTTTTTTTTTTTGAGGCAGAGTTTTGCTCTGTTGCCAGACTGGAGTGCAGTGGCACGATCTCAGCTCACTGCAGCCTCTGCCTCGTGGGTTCAAGCAATTTCCCTGCCTCAATCACCTGAGTAGCTGGGATTACAGGCACATATCACCATGCCTGGCTAATTTTTTGGTAGTTTTGTAGAGACACAGTTTCACCTTGTTGGCCAGGATGGCCTCCATCTCTTGACCTTGTGATCCACTTGCCTTGGCCTCCAAAAGTGTGGAGATTACAGAAATGAGCCCCTGCGCCTGGCCTAATTTTTAAATTATTTTTTAGAGAGAGAGTTTTGCTCTGTCACCAGGCTGGAGTGCAGTGGCACGATCTCAGCTCACTGCAACCTCTGCCTCCTGGGTGCAAGTGATTCCCCTGCCTCAGCCCCCAGAGTAGCTAGGACTATAGGAGTATGCTTCCACGCCCAGCTAATTTTTTATATTTTAGTAGAGAAAGGGTTTCACCATCTTGGCCAGGATGGTCTCCATCTCCTGACCTCATGATTCACTTGCCTTGGCCTCCCAAAGTGCTGGGATTACAAGTGTGAGCCACCGCACTCAGCCATACTTTTTTTGTACATAAAGGGTCTTGCTATGTTGCCCAGGTGTCTCTGGCTCTTTATGAGAAAAGTGTGCCAAAGGCTGAACTAAAGCTACATTTTCAACATGGATCTAAGACAAAACATAACATGAAGCACATGTGCAGAAAGGCATCTACAGTTGGAGGTGACTTATGTGGATTTTCAAATAAATCCAAAAAGGAAAAAAAGAATCCAATGTGAAACTAATGAGGGGCTGGGTGCAGTGGCTCATGCCTATAATCCCAGTACTTTGGGAGGCCAAGGCAGGCAGATCACTTGAGGTGAGGAGTTCGAGGCCAGCCTGGCCTACACGGGGAAACCCTGTTTCTACTAAAAATACAAAAAATAGCCAGGAGTGGTGGCAGGCACCTGTACTCCCAACTACTTGGGGGACTGAGGCAGAAGAATCACTTGAACCTGGGAGGTGGAGGTTGCAGTGAGCTGAGATTGTGCCACTGCACTCCAGTCATGGGTGACAGAGCAAGATTCCATCTCAATAAATAAATAAACAAGAAAGAACAGCCAAGAAAATTTTGTAAAGGAACAGATACAAGGTCAAGCTTGCTCTAACAGATATTAAAATACGTCACAAAGCCACAGTATTCAGAGAAGTATAGTACCAGTTCAGGAATAGACAACTCATTGAAACTCTGTAGAAAACCCAAAATAAATGCAGAAGCTGAATTTCTCAAGGCAGCAGTATCAGACAGTTCCACAGGCTACAAAACACTGCCTGACTTTTCAAAACTCTGTCTCAGAACACAAACAAAAAACAAAAAAAACAGTAGAGGCTGGGTGCGGTGGGTCACACCTGTAATCCCAGCACTTTGGGAGGCCAAGGCGGGCAGATCACTTGAGGTCAGGAGTTTGAGGCCAGCCTGCCCAACATGGTAACCCCCTGCCTCTACTAGAAATATAAAAATTAGCCAGGTGTGTTGGCACATTCCTATAATCCCAGCTACTTGAGAGGCTGAGGCAGGAGAATTGCTTTAACCCAGGAGGCCGAGGTTGCAGTGAGCCGAGATCGTACCACTGCACTCCAGCCTGGGCAACAGAGCAAGACTTCATCAACAAAACAAAACCAGCAGAAAACACATTGAAATGTTACTGATAACTATGTTTGGATGCTGAAAATTGGAGGCTTCTTATATTGTGTTTATTGTATTTTGAAGTTTATATAATTAAAACACAACACGATTAGGGAAATATTTTTAAAAATGCATTTCTTAGATGAAGGGGTGTTACCTGAGCTATAAAATGGGGCCCCACCTGTCCCAAAGGTGGGCCATGATCCAGAGGCTTCCTGAGCTCCTCGCCTGGCTTCCGGACTTCGGGGGCAGGAGGGAGGGTGTGGTGCTGCCGCCGCCCTGGGAATGGGATGGGGACAGGGCTTGTTCGCTGCATGCATCACTTCTGGATTCCTCATGTGCTGAGGGCAAATACTCAGAAAGAACAGCATGTTCCTTTTTGAAACCAAAGTAACTTTCATAGATAACGTGGGGAGGGCGGACAGCGGTGAACTGTGACACACAGCACTTCGGCAGAGCTCTGGCACACACAATGCCATGCCCCAGCAACACATAGCCCTTGCCCTCCTCACAGCAGCGGCAGCGAGCACATTCCATAACAGATGCACAGAGACGCCCTTTCTGTGGCAGGCACACATAAGAAACAAAAGCTTGCCAGGTGCGGTGGCTCACGTCTGTAATCCCAGCGCTTTGGGAGGTCAGGAGTTCAAGATCAGCCTGGCGAACATGATGAAATCCTGTCTCTACTAAAAATATAAAAATTAGCCAGGCGTGGTGGTGTGCACCTATAATCCCTGGTACTTGGGAGGCTGAGGCAGGAGAATTGCTTGAACTCAAGAGGCAGGGGTTGCAGTGAGCCGAGATCGCACCACTGCACTCTAGTCTGGGTGACTCTATCTCAAAAAACAAACTAACCAAAAAAAGCAAAAGCTTAAGTATATAATTAAAACTGACGGTTCTACTCAAAGCTTCGGCGCTAGTTTACTTAGAAATGACCCCGCATCAAACAATACTCTCATCGATTCCATTCGTGTGATGTTACCTAAGATTTGCTCCTTCTCTAAGCACACATCAGAAGACACAATTACTGAAATGTTTCCCAGAAGAACACATCAGTTTAGTTAACCAAACTCATTGAGGATTCCAACAAGGTTTTTGGAGGGCGTTTATAACTGTTGATATTTCACAAACTGGAAATTGAAACACATAATTCTTAAAGTGTTTTTATTAATTAACTTGAAGTTGGCAACAATGAACATATTGCTTATTATTAACATCTGAGTAGCATTGAAGAATCAGCTCTGCCCTGTGGACATCTGGAGATGGGCCCTAAAGAAAAGCACCAGTTTCTTCCAGACAGAACATAGAGAAGATAACACTTGGAAATTAATGTGTTTCCCCCGTTTATAACACCTGCATTTAAAAGCCAGAAGTCACAAGATGCACACATGGGGAAAAAGCTCACGAAAACATTCAACACCACTGGTCACCAGAAAGTGTAAAATCAAAGCCACAATGGGATTCTACCTCACACTCACTGGATGGCTAGAATCAACAAGATAGAAAACGGCTGGGCACGGTGGCTCACACCTGTAACCCACCTGTAACCCCAGCACATTGGGAGGCCAGGTGGGAGGAACATAAGGCCAGGTGTTCAATACTGGCCTGGCCAATACAGCGGGACCCCACCTCTATTTTTTTTTTTTTTTAAGACGAAGTTTCACTGTTGTTACCCAGACTGGAGGGCAATGGCGTGATCTCGGCTCACCGCAACCTCCGCCTTCTGGGTTCAAGCAATTCTCCTGCCTCAGCCTCCCGAGTAGCTGGGACTACAGGTGTGCACCACCATGCCCAGCTAATTTTTGTATTTTTAGTAGAGACGGGGTTTCACCTTGTTGACCAGGATGGTCTCAATCTCTTGACCTTGTGATCCACCCACCTCGGCCTCCCAAAGTGCTGGGATTATAGGCGTGAGCCACCGTGCCCAGCTTTTTTTTTTTTTGAGACAGCGTCTCTGTCACCAGTGTGGAGTGCAGTGGCACAATCTCAGCTCACTGCAACTTCCGCCTCCTGGGTTCAATAGATTTTCCTGCCTCAGCCTTCTCAGTAGCTGGGACTACAGGCAAGTACCACCATGCTCAGCTAATTTTTATATTTTTAGTAGAGACAAGGTTTCACCATGTTGGCCAGGATAGTCTTGATCTCTTGACCTTGTGATCTGCCCACCTTGGCCTCCCAAAGTTCTGGGATTACAGGTGTGAGTCACTGCACCCAGCCTATTTAAAAATAAAAAATAAAAAAAATTTAAAAATATGCAATAAAATTATTATTATTTTAAAGACAGAGTTTTGTTCTTGTTGCCCAGGCTGGAGTGCAATGGTGTGATCTCAGCTCACTGCAACTTCTGCCTCCCTGGTTCAAGCAATTCTCTTGCCTCAGCCTCCTAAGTAGCTAGGGTTACAGGCACAAGCCATCATGCCCTGCTAATTTTTTTTGGATTTTTGGCAGAGACGGGGTTTAACCATGTTGGCCAGGCTGGCCTCCAACTCCTGACCTCAGGTGATCCACCTGCCTCGGCCTCCCAAAGTGCTGGGATTACAGGCGTGAGCCACCATGCCTGGCCTAATAAAAGTATTCTTAATAGTAATGATAAAAAAGAAAATAGCAAGTGCTGGTGCAGATGTGGAGAAACCTTCATGCACTGCTGGTGGGTGTGGAAAGTGTCACTGCCATGGGAGGCGGTGTGTTGGCTCCTCACCAGGTCAGACATAGAATTACCACATGACCCAGCAAGGCCACTGCTAGGGAGGCACCCAAGAGAACTGAACACAGGTGTTCAAACAAAAATTTGCATGTTCACAGCAAACAGCCCAAAGGCTGAAACCATCCAAGTGTCCTCAAACTGACGAATGCATACACCTGGCCTGCGCCCCCCCCACCCCCGGCCAAGGAACTCTTCCCATGAGAAGGAACGAAGCAGGGATGCCCCAACACGACGGACCCTGAAACATGATACAAGTGAAAGAAGCCAGGCACCAAAGGACAAATACTGTATGATCCTGCTGAAACGAAACGTCAAGAACAGGCAAAGTCATGGAGGCAGAAAGTGGGTGCTGGGCAGGGGACAGAAGGAGACTGTACAGAACTGTGGGGTTTCCTCTGAGGCAATGAAGGAATTCTGAACAAATGACGATGGCTGCACAACATTCTTAATGAACTTAATGTGCTGTGAGACTCCATCTCAAAAAAAAAAAAGTTCGTTTAGTTTTTGAGACAGGGTCTCTCTGTCACCCAGGCTGGAGTGTTTGCACCACTTGTATCATGTGGTGCAAACATGGCTCACTGCAGTCTCGACTTTATGGGCTCAAGCAATCCTCCCACCTTAGCCTCCCAAGTAGCTGGGACCACACCTGGCTAATTTTTTTATTTTTTGATAGAGTCAGGGTCTCACTATGCTGCCCAGTTTGGTCTCAAGCTCCTAGCCTCAAGTGATCCTCCTGCCTTGGCCTCCCAAGGGCTGGGATTACAGGCATGAGCCACCACACCCAGCTGAAAGCTAGGTGTTGTTTTTTGTTTTCTCAATCCTTGCTTGGTTGAAAGAAAGCTAGTTTTTCTTTTCTTTTCTGAAAACAGGATTTTTAAAGAAAGCTGGTTTTTTAAAAAGCTATGAAATGTGTTAAAATTTTGTGGAGTTGGCTCAATTTTGATGGGCTTGTTTCCTTGCCTTACTTTTTTTTTTTTTCAGACAGAGTCTCACTGTTATCCAGGCTGGAGTGCAGTGGTATGATCTTGGCTCACTGCAACCTCGACTTCCCAGGTTCAAGCAATTCTCCCACCTCGCCCTCTCGAGTAGCTAGGATTATAGGCACCTGCCACCATGCCTGGCTAATTTTTGTATTTTTAGTAGACAAGGGGTTTCACCATGTTGGCCAGGCTGGTCTTGAACCCCTGCAGGCCTCAAGTGATCTTCCTCAGCTTCCCAAAGTGCTGGGGTTACAGGCATGAGCCACCGCGCCCAGCCTGCCTCCATTTACTATTTATTGACTTCCCCTAAAATATGAAGGGTTATTCTTTACTTTCTATGTAATCTGTCCAGACAACAAAGGTGCTATTTTACCAGGGTAATTTTTCATGCTTTCTGTTGACTTATTATGCCTCGATGATTTAAGAAAACAAAGCTTCCCATGCTTATGAAAGAGCTGAGGTTCTCTATAACTGTTCTCTTCTACGTTTAAGTGTTTCATCATTACTTTCACATGGGTAGCTAAATATTATTTCTCAGGTACCCATGAATCTATCTTAGTGTTCAAATCTCCTGGCATCTTTTAAATTTTTTTTCCTTATGAAAACTGAATTCTAAACGTCAAATAAAATAAAGCTTTCAGAAGATCTTTCATATTTAAAATGATCTATGAGATGGCCCAGGAGTTTCCTGAAAAATCACAAAAAAAATTTTCTTATAAAAAGAGAGGTATTTGAAATAATTAGGTATGAGCTGGGTTGTGGTGGCATGCACCTGTGGTCCCAGCTACTTGGGAGGCTGAGGCAGGAGGAGCTCTTGAGCTAAGGAGATCGAGGCTGCAGTGAGCTGTGCTCGAATCACTGCCCTCCAGCCTGTGTGACAGTGAGACTCGGTTTCTATTAAAATAGAAAAAGGTGAAAGAAAACAATTCTAAAGAAATAATTAGGTTTATTTGCTGTGTCAGGCTTGATGAATACTATGGGAAGAACGCCTTCAGGAGAGATGTGTGGCTGCCCGGGCTGCGTGTGTCGGGTACGCATGTGTCTGAGGCACGGAGGAATTGTACACTGCGCTGTGCGGAGACTTCTTGGCTGCCCATGGTGCTTCTCTTCATGAGTCCTGAAGCCGTCTGCCTGATGCTGTCGGCTGGCAGCAGTGCAGCGCTCGGAGGCATAAGTCCCATGACTGTCATGACGTAAGTTGGGCATCACCTTACTTTAACTCCAGTGAGTTGTGCATCTCTGATGCCAGAGTGTGCAGCTGGGTGAACTCATTCTGGGGCTGTGCTACTGGAAGACGGCCACCACCTGCCCCACACTTTCTGCCTCTCCACTGGATATTCTTGGTATAGTTATGGAATAGTCAGCTTCACAATTATCTGTAAATAATTTCTTCTGTAAAGATGCTGCTCAACCGCTTTTAGAAATCAGATGTTCTGTTTCCGGGCATCTTTGAAAATAGCATAAGCGTCTTGGATTAACTTTGTCTAGAACTCGTTTTTGGACTCTGTTTCCAGATGTCTGCAGGACAATGAAATAACATAACTTCTCAGTTATGTTATTCTTGCTGTGAAGAGACCTTTCACTTTTTTTTTTGA